GCCAGGAACATTTTAAGTATTAAGTATTTTAATCTACAAATACAAATTTAATTCAGTTATATGGATGTATTAATTCCAAGAAGTAGTCTTAGGAATAGATGGGATGAACTGAGTTGATGCAGGAAATCAAGTGAGCTCAGTATTTACTGCAGGCACAGGGCAGTATCAAGACAGCCCTATGTTAATTGGAGAACAGCTATTATCATCCAGAATAGAAAGAGGGAACGAATTAAGCTCAGCGCATCATTATTTGGAAACTGTACTGTCTATAGATAGAGTTACAGGAGTATCTTGGTACTCAATTTCTTTGAAACTCATCAAATTTGTTACTCAACACATTTTGATATGAAAATTTTGTCCTGGTATTCATTGTTTGTTTGGTACTCAATGCACAAGCTAGAAATCAGTGTCGGCTGCCTTGTGACTCACTACATTTATCCTTATGGGAAAAACTGATTTGGTACTCATCGTTTTTGATACTCATCATACATCCTAGGACCAATTAACAATGAATACCAAGGTACCACTGTAGGTACAAAGGAGAAAAAAGTAATTCTTTCAAAGGTAAGTATACCTTCCTATTGGGCTAAACTCTTGGTGAGTACAGCCATTTTATTTCTTGGCAATAATAAACATAGAAATGCTGGCTCCCAGGATATTTTTTTTGGGGGGGGGAGCAAGGGACAATGTCCTATTTTAATTTGTAATCTAGGGATTTTCTAGGGATGTCCCATCCAAATACTAATGAAGTTCAACCCTTAGACATTCTGCTATGCCCTACTTTTTCTATTTGAACCAGCGACAACATTTTTGAAAGTCATGGAAAAATCTTACATACACCTGTGAAGCATGGAGATATTGGAATGCACATTTACTGGTTCATCTCTTTTAATGAAATAATACAGAACTGCCCACATTTGTATCCAAAAATGCATCTGAATGTGGATATTTTCTTCCACATTATTTTCATGTGAAAACTGATTGATGTTCTTGTTCAGATTCATTCTTGTCCACATTTTGCTCTGACTTTATATCATTTAATGGGATTATAGTTGACTTAGAATGATACTGATGCTATACAGGTTGTCCTTGACTGGCAACCATTTGTTTAGTGTCTGCTTGCAGTTACAACCGAAAAATGTGATTATGACCATGTTTCACACTTACAACCGCTGCAGCATCCCCATGATCACTGGATCAAAGTTTGGACTCTAGGCATTCGGCATGTATTTATGACAGTTGCAGTGTTCCGTGGACATGTGACACCTTTGGCAGCCTTCTGACAAGCAAAGTCAATGAGGAAGCCAGATTTACTTAATAACCGTGTTATTGATTTAATTACTGCACTGATTCACTTAACAATTGTGGCAAGAAAGGTCATAAAATGGGGCAAAACTCACTTAACAACTTTCTCGCTCAGCAACAGAAATTTTTGACTCAATTGTGGTCATGAGTTGACCACAATACTACATCCTGGTGCAGAGGCAAAACACTGGGAACTTTGTCCATCTTGTTTGGCCAGTGGGACACTTGACAATTCACATAAATACACACGGAAAGTCAAGATGGCAAGAAGACTTAAGTTGCCCCCAGAGATGTCATTTCATAGTGATATCTGATTGGTTATGCTAGCCAAGTATATTGATTAAACAATCTCTGAATTGGCTAGGACCATATAATGAAGATACCCTTTCAAGTGAAGGAAAAAGAATGCCGAAGCAGCAAAAAGTCAGAAAAACAATGGGTGCAAAGGTTTGTGAAAAAGATGGCTAATTTTCTTAACTTCAGCAATGGCAAATTTTCCATTAAAAAAAGAAAACAACTTTTGATCCAACGTTTCTTAAAGTATATTGGACAGCCATTTGTCTGAAATAGTATAGGGTTTCCTGCCTGAGCAGGAGGTTGGACTAGATGACCTCTAAGATCCCTTCCAACTTTATTATTATTATTATTATTATTATTATTATTATTATTATTATTATTATTATTATTATTATTATTATTATTATTATTATTATTATTTTGGAAGGAGGAGTGGGGAGATTGTTGTTCTTGGCTAAGAGTACATGAATTGAATTAAGCATGCAGAAGACCCAGTATGGTGTCTTCAAGATTCACAAATGGAGAAGTGATGCTCTTGTTTTGTTCGTTTCAGACCTCTAAGATTCAAGAACATTCTTGTTCAGAATACAAAATTATTCTCTATCTGTATTTAAAACTATCTGAAATACTGGCGAAATAATATCTTCTGGCAGATGTGGAAGAACAGGCATTTTTCTTATTTTGAATTCAGACAGCTGGCGGTAGGAGAAGAAAGTGATACATTGTGGTTGTCTATTTCCTCTTGTTTTTATAATTGCGAGCTCCTAGGACCTCAGGAGTAGGCAGCATACAAATGATTGTATAAATAAAATAGGATTAAAATGCAGTTGATTCAGGACAAGCAAAAGAAACTATATAACACATACTGAACTAACAAAATCCACTGCTGCAAGGAAAGATAATAGTTGCTACATTAAGTTTTGTTTTGTTTTTAAGAAGTGTTAGATAAATGAATGAAAGATAGATGTCTACATTGGCAACAATTAAACAGAACCTTCATGGGCAGAAGGTACTGTACCTCTGTGAAGTAAATTGCAGAATAAATAAATCAATATAAGCCAGTTGCATTCATATCTTGCTTTCAGCTTCTCAGAGACAATTTCATGATCACTGCAGAAAACAGAAGGTTCATTTAAATGGAATATTCATTTTGTTCAAGAACATGTCTGCCTCTCTGATGTGTGTGATTTGCTGTGAAGGTCTATAGTGCCTCCCGAATGCCTTGAAGGAGCTTGGCTTGAGAAGACAATAGGAGGAGGGGAAGGATCTGGAACTAAAGCTGGAAAAATGAAGTATTTATTTTATACATAGGCTTGGTTATAGCAGAGTTGTGTGGCTAGAGATGTGTGCCTAAAGTTTTACAGAAAAGATGCTTTTTTGAGGAAGGCATCTGGAGCAAGAATTTGAAAGGAGTCAGAAGACGTCTCCACATAAAAGGGACCCAGTCAGAATAGAATTGTTTGAAAATTCTCAAAAAAGCATCAGTGGCTGTCTGGGATTTATTGGGATGTGAGGGGAAAGAATGCTACACGGGCTTTGGAAGTAATTGCTATGAGCTTCAGCTGCCAGTATTGCAGCTGGAGCAAGCAACCCAGGGCAGGGATTTAAAGAGAATATGCTTAAATTCGGAGTATTTAAAAGTAGGGAGTACTTTAGGTGGCAGAGTTTGGGATATATGTGAAGAGGGGATAATTCCTGTAGTCTTGCACTGTGTTATTACTTAGGTTTCAATAGTCGCTGCCTTCAGACAAGGCTGCTGATGTAGAGAATTGCCAAGGAAGCCATTAGTCAGTTCCAAGTATGCTATGTAGGCTTGCGTGCATCAAGAGCGGAAAGCCCTCTGACATGAATATAAAGCTCGACACATTTGAGTTCCACCGTGCTGACTCCTTCCCTGACTGTTGCCTTCTCCTCCCTCCCCCCCACCCATTCCTTCAGGGTTCCCTCCTGTCACACCTGATATTCAATCCTGACCAAGTTAATGCCTCTTGCTCAGATCAGATGTGGCTTTGGAGGGGTCATGTGACAGAAGAAGGCTGCTATAAATATAATTAAACCTTGCAATCACTGCCCCAGACTCCTTTGGGGGCAGGAAGAAAAGAAAGTGAGAAAGACGTAAGAAATAGGGAAGGAGAGGAGGGCCAAGTGGGGAGGCATGCCTTGGGCTGATCAGCTAGGGGGGCTTGGAGTTTCTTCTGCAGTGTCCTTGGTCCACCTCAGCAAAAGCTGAGCTATGGAGCATTCAGAGCTCAAGAAGGTTAACACCCAGAAGGATACCACGCTGTGGGGTGGTGCCCCCCAGTATGACTACATCCATTATGACAATTGCACCAGTTATGGGATCCCATCTGAGGATGGTGGGACTGCAGATGATACACACTACCAGGAGAAGGCCCTCAACCGTATCCAGGTAGAGTGGAATATGGGGAGTATGGAAGGTATTCTGGATCAGATTGCTTAATTCCATATTGGCGAAGAGGTCAAAGTAAGGCATTAAGATATATATATATACACCACTGTGATACACTGATTCAATATTTTAATGACTTCTATCATGACATCCTAAGTGATCAAACTGGTGCCGTGAGGATAATATAGAAAGAAACTTCAATATCTAATTCAGACCATGTTAGTTCATTCACACTTATCTGGTATGACTAGCATTAAAAAAGTATTTAGGATGATGCATATCCTGTGTTGAACTCTGAATAAATGTTCTATACTCTTGATGGTAACAGTGTATTATGCTTTGGGAAATGCTTTAATGTGCATTGTGGTTGAAATATCCTCCCTGGAGGTTTTAAGAATTAGAGAGCAAAGAGAATGATTCTTTTCTCCCTGTCATACAGAAAGTCAGAGGCCTCTTTGTAGTGCAGAGGGAAAAGGCAGGATTTTAATGCCTTTAAAGAAGTTCTATATTACACATAATGTTATCATATTTCAGATATATCCTAGAAGCTGCATGGATGTGTATATTTTATACCTGAAGATTTTGTTTCACTTGTTATATCTTTCTGTCTATTTCTCCTTGCATGCAGAGTATTGTTTCAGTCTTACAGTAGCCTTTCCAAAGCTGATAGTCCTTGACTTACGACTACAACAGAATTTCTGTTGTTAAGGAAGGCAGTTGTTAAGTGAGTCACCCCCAATTTTATGACAATTTTTTGCCATGGTTGTTAAGTGAATCACTTGTCATTGTTAATAACATGGTTGTTAAGCGAATCTGGCTTCCACCCTTAATGTTACTTGTTGGAAGCCAGCTGGGAAAATTGCAAATGGCAATTATATGACCCCATGACACTGCAACCTTCGTAAATATGTGGCAATTGTCAAGCGCCCAAATTTTGAACACATGACTATGGGGTTGCTGTGGTGGTTGTAAGTGTGAGTACCCATTGCAAGTCACTTTTTCTAGTGCTGTTTTAACTTCAAATGTTCGCTAAATTAATGGATGTAAGTCAAGGACTACCTGTACTCTTGAAAAGCTTTGGACAATTCCCCAAAGAGTGTAGTTGGCCATAGCAATCAGAAATGATGAGAGCAGATCTGATATAGCTGGAAGAGTCTAGATTAAGAACACTTCTAATACAATAATCCTGGCTAAAAACAGCCATTCAGAAGGCAAGAGAAGACTTGGGCTTTGTTTCAGATTTTCAAAATCAACACACTGTCCCTTGCAATGCCATGATCCATACTGAAAGCTTGATTTTTGTAATGATTTTCATGGAGGCCAGATGTTAAAAAGGGAATGCAACGCCAGTAAAAACTTGATCAGGGATACAATGTTTTAGACTTCTGGCCTTGAGTATATTTGGGCAAGAATCATTCTGTGGTTAAGTCTCATGTTCTGAGTGTATTGTGAGAATTAGTGTCTTGTGCAAAAAGGACAGGTATGATTACGGATTAAAATAACTTTTGTAAATACTTATTTGTATTTATAAATCAGGGCCAATATCTGCATAATCTGAGGAATCGTTAATGTTCAACACATACATTTCTTTGACTATACATCTTGGGAAACAACGTTGGACTGCTTGCAAGGACAGGGACGTGAAATGATATTGAGAAATCCTGACAATGGACAATTATTAGTGAAATGTTTCCCTCTTTACTGGCCTCAGCCATCTTCCTAGGGTTTTCCTGTGTGGGTGTGTATTGATTTTTGACACTCCATAAATAATGCAAATTAAGCCATGAACCCTAGGAACTGGAAACAGGGCTTTCACTGCATAGTTGATATTAACAAGTTTACATTTTCTCACCTAGTTCAAAGGGATCAATTCCTCTTCTTGACTGGTTGATGTAAGGCACTATGTTGATACTCTAGTCTTTTCTATCTTCCTCAGAATCATGACAGAAGAACCCATGGTCCCTTGGGCTCATGTGAATATTTACACTGATTTGCCTCTTTGTAATGTCTGGCATAGTTCATTTATATAGTCATCTATTTCACAGATTGAGCAATTGAAACAAAACAAACAATAGAGCCTTAAAACATTAAAAACCATTAAAATCATGAATGGGAGAGTCTCACCTACAACATTGCCATACGTTTAGTCTAACTTGCCATGTGGTTTTATGACATAATCCCCACAATCCTATGAGCAAACCTGGCCAATGGACTGCTGCTGAGGAAGTAGCAACTTTAGCTGTAATGGGGGAGATCCAAGCAACCAGAGAAAGCACAAATATCAAACTAGGTTAGTTTTAAGATGAATATTCATACAATTTAATATTTTTCAGAGAGAAAGAGTTTAAAATGAAGTTGCTGGTTCCTATTGTACATGAACATCTAAAATGGTCAATGCTCTGTTTACCTCAAGTGCTCCAACTACTAAAACTGAAGATGCAAGGTCCAGAGTGAGGGAGAAATGAAACTAAAAGAGCTGAAATATGGTGAGGAGAACAGTAGGAGCAACAGGGTAGAAGCCAGTGTGACATTAGTCATCCACTTTGCTTTTAGTTTTGATGTCAGATTTCTGGATATAAGAAACTTGCCTATTTGAATTTTGAGATTAAAGTCACAGAACATTACATATTGCTAGGGTAAAACTAAGCAATACAAGAGTGATGGTTTGACAAAATATGGGGGGAACCCAGGACAGAAATACCAAGAAGCTCAGTGCAACTCATGAGTAAGAGATTCCATGGAAGCTTTGCAAGAAGTGAGAAGCTTAGGTTTAGGATAGAAAACAAAACTGCTGATGAGCTGACCACATAGGACTGATTAGGGATGGGTACACAGGGCCTATGACCCCATCTCCCCTTTTTTCTCTTCCCTTCCATAGCTTTCTTAACTCTTCTTTTTTAAAAAAAATCATAACAATACAATAGGTACATACAACCAACACAGACTTGTTCTTTGCCTAAATGGACTGGTCCAAATGTATTTGTGAGAACACCAAATCTTGTTTCAGATGGACTTAAGATATGTGAATGGCTAACAGTATCAGTGACAAGCTTATCAGGGAACAAGGCACAACCTCTGGCTAAAGGTTCTATGTTCAGCTCTTCTTATTTTTCTGCCCTAGGTTATGATTCATATTGAATTCATTATTGTAAGATGGTGGGGAGGCTTGAGTGCTTGATGTGTGCGTGCGTGTGTTTAAAACATGTGGAGAGATGTTTCAAAGAGAGCCTTCATTTTCAAAAGGAGTGTATCTTGGTGCCAGTTCATGCAGGACAAATAATGTGAGAAAGAGGTATGACCTTTATGCGCTGTTTTTTAACTTGCCCAAAGCACCAAGGTCTTGCATGCAACCATCTGCATTTAATCATCTCAGTGTGCTTTGGCTCAGGTATGTTCCTTACCCCCTTATCCTACAACCTCTTCCTTCCCTTTCCATTTTGTCATGTTTTTGATTCCTTCAATTTGGTTTTTTTTTTTAAATTTCCTCCAAGTATGATTTGAAACAGATTCGGGTGAATCATCTATTGGTGAGCTAACTAAAAGGAATCACTTCTTTGGAATGATATAGGATGTGGTGCGCATTAATGTAGAGTTGGATAAAAAATGATGTGATTTATTAGGATTCTCCAGTTTTTAACTCTCTTGCAGAATATCGCCCTATTTAAAACAAACTCTGAATTGCAACATGGACTCAATCCCCAAATATTTTAAGGGTCCAGCAAGGCTCCTGCTTGTAAGATCATCATTAATTGTAGCCGAGACTAGACTCATGGGCTTTCTTCTGATATAGCTCTCTTTTGTAGTTCTGTTTCCATAATGAAGGATGAAGGCTTGCTTTTGTCATGTTTTTAATTTATTTTGCTCAACAGTGTGGCTTCTCCCTAGTGGATGTTTACACCCTTCAGATATCTGAAGCGGAATCAAATTGCTTCTTAGTCATCATTTAGCCAGCTTCTTTAATCTTCTTTTTCATGTCGGGCTCCCCAGCTGCTCTCCAGCAATTTTTTCAGGGCTTGTTTGGCCCTATGCCTGCCTCTTGGCATAGCAACATACTGGAAAAGTCCCCTTGCAAGTTTGTTGGTGTTAGAGCCTGCTTGGAGGGGAAAGAGCTACCCTGATGATGACTTTCTGTGTCCTCTGCTTTGGGGGCTGAATTAAGAGGTTTGGGGGGAGAGAGTAGAAGGAATATTTGAATTTTTTGAGATTTACTGTATGTGTCAATATGCAATCATAAACAAATATAACAGATGTTCCAAAAAGCTATTTAACCCCATATGGTTTAAATGGATAACATTAACATTGACCACAAAGGAAATGTATTTAAAAAATATAGTGGCCCAGCTAGGGAGAAAGAGTTGTTGTGGTTTCAAGGGGAAACTGTATTTTATTCCAGATCTGGGAGCAGATTATTCAATTCTCAATGCTTCTCTTGTGTTGGGCTTATGGAATAAAGTAGATACTAACCATCCAGATTCTAACACTCTTCCTTCCAGTACAGGTAATCTTCTTATGACCATTCATTTAATGATTATTCAAAATTACAACTAGGCTGAAAAAAGTGACTTCTGACTTTTCCTCATACTTATAGCTATTGCAGCATCGCTGTCGTCACCTGATCAAAAGTTGGGTGCTTCGCAAGAACATGTATTTGTGGTGGTTGCAGCATCCTGGGGTCACACGATCACTATCTGCAACTTTCATGGACAAGCAAAATGAATGGGGGAAGCCAAATTTACTTAACAACCATGTAATTTGTTTAATGACCACAGAAATGTGTTTAATGACTGTGACAAAAAAAGATTGTAAAATTGGGTGTGACTCACTTAACAACCACATAGTGACAGAATTTCTGATCTCAATTGTCGTTTTAAGTTAAGTACTATCTATATTAGTGTTGAGAACCTCCAAGATGCTAATTTGGAGGGTGGGCAGAAGATTTCTGTGTCATTTTTTTTTAATCTTGAATGGCTCAGAGGCATGTGGCATAGAAATTTAATAAA